TGTCATAGTATTTTTCTGATAATCTTCCTCTCAAAAACTTTCCATTGCTCTTCCTCTTTTGCTGTTAATGTTAATGTTTCTGCAGCATCTACTACTATTGGTCTTATGATCATTTTGTAGATTTTCATTTTTGTGTTTCGGCTTATCTTATAGTATCTAAACATTTTTTTATTTCTATAAAACTCTGTATTTCCTGCTTGAATTCTTCTTTTGATGTACACTTTCATTTCTTCTCTAGACTAGTACTCCCAAATGTTTGAATGTTTCAACCTCTTTGAAACTGTGTATATCTATTGTTAGTTATGTCATTTTTGTCTTCTTTTTCTTGCAAGGAAGCATTATATATTCTTAGTATTCAATCCAAAAACTAAATTTAAGACTTTGATTAAAAAAAAATTGATGGGAAACCAAATTATCAATATACGGGTCCATTGTAGAACCTATACCAACGCAAATACTCTTGGAGCTTTAGGAGACTAAGTAATTACATTTGTTATTACTTAATACTACTTACTTGGATATTATCTCTATAAAATGAGCAAGGCGTACAAAGAAACATGCGTTTCTGCAAAAATTCAAATGAAAAAAATATTTACAATTGCAGAGCAACTGTTTGCTAACAACCACAAGTACCTGTAACAGGTATTTTTAGAACCTTGCCAAATTACTCTCTCAAACGGGTAAAATACTTTGTTAGAAACCTACCAAATATTATTTTATGCAGACGACGCCCCATTAATCGCTGAGACAGAAGACGCTAATAAATACAATATGATAATATCAGCAGACAAAACCAAATGTATGACAACATCTAAATACCCATTACGGTGTAACATTGAAATTGATAGTAAAATAATAAAGCAGGAAGCAAGGTTTAGATATCTGGGAATAGATATAACTAGTTACGGAGATGTTGAAGAAGAAGTACGACAATAAAGCTTAAAAGCAAGTGAAGCGGCAGGTTCTCGTAATGACGCAATCTGGAAGAACAAACACCTTAGACAACACACTAAAACAAGAATCTTTAAAGCAGCAATTAGAATTATATTAACCTACACGGCGGAGACAAGACCTGACACATCTAAAACAAGACGACTGCTAGAAACCACAGAGATGAAAATACTCCGACGAATATCAGGGAGAAGCCTGTTGCATTGGGAGTGAAGCGAAAATATAAGAAGAGCATGCAATATAGAAGATATAAATGGATGGGTGACAAAACGAAAACAGGAGTGGAATGAACATATCAGTACAATGGCAGAGGATAGAATAGTATGAATAGCACGAGATAACTCACCAAATGGACGAAGAATTATTGGCAGACCAAGAAAAAGATGCTGCGATAATTTAAACAATTTAGGAGGCTAATATTGAAGAAGAAACAGGCTTAAAGCCTACATACTAGAAGGAAGAAGGAGAAGAAGAATAAGAAGAAACCTAGATCTGTTGCACTGACCATAGATAAGGATAAACAAAAGATCTTTAAGTTCTCAGCTTTCAGCTCTCTAAAATTTTGTATTTATATTATTGACGGCCTGGAATTTAGTTTCTTCTGGTTTGTCTTGTATGATCATCACTGACCAGATATTGGTTTCGTGATTTTTTTTTCATTTTTTTTTATATTTAAGGATAACTAGGGATAACTAGGGATTAACGAGGTTTAAGGCTTTAAACTTTTGTTTTCAAACTTGTATTTGTCAACTATTTTTGTAGTGTGAGGTCCAAGTCTTCCATAATTGACGTTGGACATTATTTTGTATGCTGAGTTTGACAGCGTGATTCTAAGGTAATTTCCTTGTCTCCTTTTTTATGTCATCATTATCTTTAGCCGTTTTGAATTAACTGCTGAACATAGGCCTTCCGTAAATATTTCCGTTGCATCCGATTTTGATCACCATAAATCCAGTTTTGCTGGATGCGCTTAATGTAGTCTAAAACTTGTTGGAAAACGTCCTCGATTACGATAAGTATCGTATCTAGGTCTCTACTTTAATTTTTTTTTAATGCTACAACAATATCGATATATCACTCCATTGGTAACTTCTTACTCAACCATATCTCTATTAGCAGGTCATGTATTGTTTTTAGGAATGCGTCTCCTCCTTCCTTCAGTAGCTCCGATATTATTTGATCCGATTCAGGATTTATTGTTCTTTAGTTTGTCTACTGCTGTTCTAATCTCGGATATTGTTAGTGGACTCTGATCTCTGTTGTCTGTTTGGTCTAATGGTAGGTATATATCAGGGTTTGCCTACCTATTATCTCCCTCAAGCTTTTCCTTAAAATGTTCTGTTCATCTTCTTAATATTTCTTGCTATTTTGTAAATAAATTATCATCCTTTTCTCTAAACATCGTTGTTCTCGGCTGTTCTCGGTATGAATTATTTTCTACACCTGTTCAGTTTATGTTAAAACCTTTTTGTATCTGTTGACTTAATCTTGAAATTATTTGAATGAGAAAATGTCAACATTTTCTCTCTTCTTCATGCAGTTGCTTATATTTCTCTTCTGTTAATCGGGTTCTGTTTCCCTGTTTCTTCAGGAAATATGCATCAGCAAATATGTTGATCAACTTTTGCGTTTAGGTTTCAATAGATTATTTATATATCATTTTTTGGGTATGACTGGTATGTATGCAAGTATGTTGTTAATTGCAGTACGCAATTTTTATTATCAGACAAATAATAGAGAAGTCTATTAAATATGGAAACCCAGCATACATGTGCTTTGTAGATTTAAAAAGTGCTTTTGACAGGGTGAAGCAAAATGACATCTTAAATTTATTACAAGCTAAACAAATAGACCATCAGATAATAAGGACAATTAATGAAATCAACAAGAACAACAAGACCAGAGTTATAATGCCAACAGGAGAAACATAATGCATAGAACTAAAAGGAGGTATCCGCCAGGGAGACTCGCTCAGCCCATTGTTATTAAATATGGTGACGAATCAAATAACTCACGAAGTAAGAAAATGACACAAATACCACATGGGAGCGCATAAAATCACGATACTATGCTATGCCGATGGTGCAGTACTAATTGCTGATAATGAAGATTACCTACAAAGGCAGCTCCATACCTTCAATATCACAGTAAACAAACTTAATATAAGAATATCACTAGAAAAAAACTAAATGTATAGTGATCAGTAAAGAGCCGTGTAGATGTAAACTAGAAATAGACGGTAATATTGTAGAACAAGTAATGAATTTCAGTTACCTAGGAGTAGAGATTACTAGTGACAGGGATATAAGAACAGAGACCACAAGGCAAGCATCAAAAGCGGCAAGAGTAAGTGGTTGCCTCCGAGAAACCATATGCAGAAACAAATATCTGACCACGAAAAGCAAAATTAACTGTATGTATACAAGACAACAGTAAGACCAATCCTAACACATGCAGCGGAAACAAGGACCGATACAAGAAAGACGAAACCACAAATCAACAATATCGAAATGATAATATTAAGATCAATAGCGGACAGATCATTAAGATACAAACAAACCAACAGAAGTATACTATACACAAACAATGCAACATTCAAAATATTAACAGGTCGATAAAAACAAGAAAAATAAACTGGAATGAACATGTAAACCGAATGGGACCAGATAGATTAGCGACCATCTGTAAAAACAACAAATCGTATAGCAGAAGATCCGTTGGAAAGCAGCCAAAAAGGTGGAATGATAATGTACGAGTACAGTCAACAACGACTGAAACAGAATAAGAGACAGACAAACAGGAGTAATCCTAGTCGCACGAAGAAGAAGAAGAAGAAGACTGGTATGCGGACTCTAATAATTGATTATAAAACTCTTCTTAAATTTCATATTCTTTTTCCACTGTCAAGGCATGCGCATTAAGTTGCCTTGCGGTATGTTATAAAATCATATGTATTTTTATCTCCTTCTAGTTGGCTTAAATATTCGATATATTTTTCTTTTTAAATCATGAATGTGTTGCTTGTGTGAGTCCATTTCAAATAGGTAAAGAAATAATAAATAAGACTTACAATCAATTTAATTTAACTATCAGACGATCGGTTTCGTTTTCTACAATATGCAAAGCATCCTCAGGTCTCGATACAAAGTTAAACAAATGATGCCGGTACTCTATTAATTGATGGATGGTAGAACATGGTTGAAACTACTATGTATTGTTGAATGGAGAACTCAATTCTATTATTGCAGTTGTTTGACAGTAAACGGGAAGTTCGTGAGGAGATAGATTGATCCAATGAAGAAGATATATGTGTGTGATTGTTTGTTAAATGAAAGTGATGTAATATACCATTGTGTTATTAAAAGTTATTAATACTTATTCGAGAGATATATTTATGAAATGTGTGTTATTTATTGAGTAATTGTTTTATGAAGGTGACAGTTTTATGACAATGAATAAGTTTAGATGTAAAAATTGTGTGGGTGCGCAATTATTTTTCAACTTGTAGTTATCAAATTACTTTGATAAAGTTCTATTGGCAATTAGTAAATTATTGAAAAGGCAAGTAAATAAAATATAAAAATACAAACAATTAAGGACAATTTAAACACACTAAAACAGAAAACACTTAGAAGGGACGAAACAAGCATTGAATTTAAAAGGGGGAAGGACTTTATTGCACTACATCTCAGTCTTGGGCACAATGACTTTTTTTATTATTATTTGTTTAACTTTGTATCGAGACCTGAGGATTCTTTGCATATTGTAGAAAGCGAAACCGGTCGTCTGATAGTTAAATTAAATTGATTGTAAGTCTTATTTATTATTTCTTTACCTATTTTTCTTTTTATTCGATACAATTTTTGTTTTATTTTAAGTATACTTTCCATATTTTCCACTCTAATTAGTAAAACCAATAATTAAATATTATGAATATTATTCAAAGATGTACCCATTACTTTTCTTTTCAATAAAAGAAATTCTAAATACTGATCACTAATAGTAAATATTAAATTAGTCCAATAATAATCATATATTTTATTTTTCAGATATGGATGAGGGTGATCTGCCTCTTCCCGCTGCCCCAGGCAGCGACCATCAGCAAACAGCTCTGAACTACTCAACTTTAGCCAGTGCAGTTGCTTCCGCAAATGGTCCAACTACAGATCCAAGCATTTCCTCGACGGAAACGCTCTTGAGGAACATCCAGGGTCTCCTCAAAGTCGCAGCAGACAACGCACGTCAACAGGAACGGCAAATTCACTACGAAAAAGGTACAAATAGTAACATGGTGTATCTTTTATCTTTAGCACAATATTATATGTACTTGGCCGCTACGCAGAAGTGTTGAAATCTAAGTTTTCGTGATTTTAGTTTGTAAATATTTATTGAATTTTTGGATATATATTGAGAAGTTAATGGAGAACGGGAAGTTCATTTCTTATATTATTTTTAAAGTCTATTTTTCGAGCCATTTGCGCATTGAAAATAATATAAGAGCGACTCTTCTGGCATCTCGATGTAAAGTAAAAAAATTGACAATTAAAGTAGTACTTACTGTAAATTTGACTTGTAGTAAAAATATTTATATTTTTACTGATACTTTACTGTCAGTATTTTCAATAAACTGCCATTTCAAATTTATCTTTTGGAAACAAAGATTCCGTTGTACAGTTCCAAGTATTATACCGACAAAAATTTTTACTCAAAGTCTTTAGCAATGACTTTTCTTTGGTAAACTACGCACCATTTTTACCATAACTTTGTAAATATAATAAAGCTATTTCTTCGATAACATTTTTCTTGTGAAAAACAAATTATTTTATATATACTCTTTTTTAAATTGCTCTTGGTAATTTTTGAGAAATGGTTATTCAATCTGTAAAAACCCTACCATATTTTTAGTAAACTGTCTGGAAGGGAATCTTTTTAAGGTCTACTTGGTAGCTAAGTGGGTTGAAGCCTAGAGTGTAGTTTGTTCCAGTCCCATGCATTTAGAAACTGTTCAATACTCGAAAGATTTCGCGACACTATCGAGACCTTAATGACATACTGGATCTAAAGGCTAAGTTACTATCATTAATTGAACCTTAGAAGTAAAGGTCTTTCTCCATTACCTGTTTCGCTGCTATATTAAATTTTTGAAGGTATCTTGTGTGCCTAGTACCTATACTATCTTTATGATTACTAGTTGTCTAATGTTGCTGACTATTTTGTCCTATATATATATATATATATATATATATATATATATATATATATATATATATATATATATATATATATAACAAGCGAGTCTTCTACAGCTGGCGCCGCTTCTCGCATCCTAATTTCCAGCGTTTTCTGTCGAAGCAATCTTCAGTTGTTAGATCTCTGGCAGTCATTGCATCGTCGACATTGTCTCTCCAGGATCGTCTTGGTCTACCCCGTTTTCTTCTAGTTGGCGGAGTCCATTCGTCTATTTTTTTTGGCCATCTGTTTTCCGGCATTCTCTGAAGGTGTCTATTATGTCTAGATCGATTTCCATTTCTCTCTGAATATCTTCGTTTCTTACCCTATCGAGTCTAGTGAGCTGGCAACATCGTCTCCAGTAGTTCATTTCCATGGCCTTAATTTTTGATTTGGTTCTTTGGTTTATTCCCAGAGTTCGGCGCCGTACAGTCCAATACTTTCTATTATTGTTTTATAAATTCTTCTTTTATTCTCTTTTGTTATTTTTTTATTCCATAATAGTCCATGTAGCTGTCTGGTGGCTGATCTTGCTTGGCCAATCCTGGAATCTATTTCTTCGCTACTTCCTGCTTTTGATGTTATTTGGACTCCCAAGTACTTAAAATTGTCTGATGGTTTTATAATTAACATTTCGATTTGTAGGCTGTCTGGTTTTTCTCCTACAACTAAGTACTCAGTTTTTTGTATATTAATTGTGAGGCCCCATTTGTTGTACTCATCTTCCAGTTTTCTAAGCATGTAGCTTATATCACTCTCGTCTTCATTGTTGACCCTATTTATTTGTTGAGTTCTTCGCATTTACTTTCCCAGGAAATATTTTTTGCTTTAGTTACTAAATTTTTTACTTCTCTGTTTGATCTTGCATATGTTCGTCTATCATCTATTTTGTCCTTTATATGTTTTTCATGTAATTATTCTATAATAATGGTGATTTTTAGTGATTCTTTGAATTATCTAATATGTTGAAGTGAGAATTTTTCACTTTCCTTACAAGAAACGATTCTCTTTGCATGATATTTTCCTAATGTATCCTTAATTTTTTTTGTTTTGTAAATATTTTTTTCGCTTGACAACCGTTACTTCAATATACATTCATTCTTCTCTGTGTCTTATCCTTTACGGATATTATTTTATTCTGTCTACAACAGTTCTGAAGAGTTCTAGTGTTATTTTTCCACTCCATTGCTTCATTTTTTTCAATCAGGACGTACGTCCTGTCCCCAGTTCTCTTATTTCTTCCACTTTACCTTGTATACCCAATCGTATCAACTCATATTTTTTATTTCGTAGTATGTTCCCAAAGAAGCTCATTTTTTTTCTTCATAGTGTTAAGTATATCTTTTTCTTTTTTCATCGTTTCTTATGTTTCCATGTTTATTACGTGCTGTGTCCTCGATATTATCCATATTCTTAGATAACACTACAAAAAAGCAGAGAATACGTACAATCTCAATACTTTAGTTTTCCATTGCATAATACTGCTTTTATCGTATTGCAAGCGCTGCTGGCCATCTCAATGCCTTGTTTTATTGTTTATTTAGATCACATCCCAATTAATTGTATCTAAATATTGAATCTGTTGCTTGTGTGAGTCCATTTCAAATAGGTAAAGAAATAATAAATAAGACTTACTTACAATTAATTTAATTTAACGATCAGACGACCGGTTTCGCTTTCTACAATATGCAAAGCATCTTCAGGTCTCGAAACAAAGTTAAATAAATGATGCCGGTACTCTATTAATTGATGGATGGTAGAACATGGTTGAAACTACTATAGTAGTTAAACTACTATAGTAAAGTGAAACTACGATAGTAGTTTAACTACTATAGTAGTTTCAACCATGTTCTATCATTCATCAATTAATAGAGTACCGGCATCATTTATTTAACTTTGTATCGAGACCTGAAGATGCTTTGCATATTGTAGAAAGCGAAACCGGTCGTCTGATAGTCAAAATAAATTGATTGTGAGTAAGTCTTATTTATTATTTCTTTACCTATTTGTATCTAAATACTTTCTCTAAAGCTTTTCCTGTAACGTAGATTGTTTTATCTTTAATCTTTTTCTTACTGACAATCATGAGTTTTGTTTTTGTATTAAGAGCCAATCCATACCTCTCGCAGTAGTCCGTATTGTGATCAACCACAATTTGCAACCCTTGTCTGCTTTCCACAAGGAGTGTTGTATCGTATGCATATCTTAGATTATTTAATAGTGTTTCGTTGATTGATATCTCTTCGTTGAAGTAGCGCATAAAATTTTCTTGCAGCTCAGTTTTTACATAAGCTTATGTGAGAAAATTTTGAGAAAAATACTAAAGAATAAAATTTATTAACTTTCTTTTACTAAAAAAAGATTCTCACCCACTGTATCAAGTATCTTGTAGATTGTTGATAAATGAGTCGTTGAACCTCATAGAACTTTTCACATTAGGATCAAAGAGATACCTAATTTTTGTTTGTGGCTTTTGGTTAAGTTGTGATGCCTAACGTCAAGTCTCTTTTTGCTTGCTTCAATTTTGATTAAATTGCACAATTTACTTATGACTGAGTCTTCCTTGTTAACTTAGTGGTCCATTCTTATTCCACGAGAAGGTAGGGAATGGATGGCCACTTCGTCAGAACCCCGCATAACAAGAGAAGAATAATTAAACCTAGGTATAGCCTAATATCTGTGGACGAGACCTTCTCGTTAATTGATCCCGCCTTACAGAATTGACGACCATGATCGAGCTTAGAGGCATATTCCACCACAAAAGACTCTCACGGCTTTTTGAGAAATAACAAATGACTTTTTACTTTCTAACATACGAATTGTTCACTTCTGATATCTCCGCTTTTCAATATTATAAAAAAAATCTTCTTTTTTCTTAAATCTGGTCATTTCAATCTGGTTTGAGATATTTTGAATTAAGATTTTTTCCATTTTTCTCCTTCTTCTGCTATTATGATTTGTTTTGACTATGGAACGCCAATGGAGCCAACGTTGTTGCCTCTATCTGTTTCCTTTTTCTGAATGCTCAGGGAAGAAAGCTTCCTAAGGCCGTGCGTTTCAATGACGTGTCCAATATAACTTTTTATTTCGTGTATGATATACATGCTAAGTCTTTCCAAATTTTCTGCTACTAGTACTGACTCATTTCTTTTGAGATATCTTTAACAGATCCTTAACATATGTATCCAACAAGTTATCTCAAGAGCGTCCATTAGTTCTTTGTAAGTGCCTGTATGCATCCAACCTTATCATATTTATATAAAGGAAAACTGGAAAGTATATTGAAATAATACCACATAATTGGAAGTCAATCTTTTATTGTATTAATAAATGTAATGGAGATGGAAATACAATATAATGCAGTAACTAATTGGTACAGAATTTTTTACAATCAGCAAATGAAATATTTTTTCAATTCACTCTTGATTACCAAGCAACATTTTATATTACAAATACAGTATTTCTTGTTTTTTTACAATACTTTCTTACTAAGGAATTCTTAATAAATCGGTAAAATACCATACAAGGTGCGTTTGTTTGATTTCTTTTTGTACATTAACAAAAACAAAATCCGTGGTCTAATGCAACTTATTGATGTGAGAAATTGAGCAATTTTTTAAACATAAAAATATATATGTATACCATATATGAGTCTTTCTGCGTGCATTTTAGCCAATTGTAAAAAAAACGGTACTTTATTTTGTCTTTAATAATAACGATTTAAACTCTGTTGGACACTACCCAAGATTATAAAACCCCTATTTGTTACCATCTGCTAAGTATTAATATGTTGATAGTTACTGACTATTTCTTATCGTGTCCCCAATACTGAGAATCGTGACTTCCTCCAATACTAATAAATTTTCCGCATTTGTCTCTGTCTTTAGCTGCTCTACGGGTTTCGCAAAATGACTGTCCTTCTAAATTTTGAATTTAGTCAGACCATCTGGTTGGTGACCACTCTCTTGGTCTTCTCCTCGGAACATTTCCAGAAAGAATTAATCTTTCTAAATGATTGTCACCTCAGCTAACCACGTGACAAAACAACGGTAGAATTCGATGCAGACGTATTATGGACAATCTTTTTGTAATGCTAAGTTGGTTAAGAATGGAAAAGTGTAT